GTGGGGTGATCGACCGCGCAGTCGAATTGATTCTCGCCCTCCACAGAATTTTTCTAATGCCCGTGGTCGTGGCAATTCTCCACGGGCTAATCTTACACAGATCCTGAATGCTAATTCCGCAACAACGGGCCCAACCGAAATCACTGACACCGATAGACAAGGCCTCCTCGGGCTCACCGACGATCAGTGGAAGCTTGTTGAAAAAGTTTTGAACACTGGCAAGACAACGACACAACTGAGTGGTAAGAATGCTAATGATGTTTGGATTTTAGATACCGGAGCAACACATCACATGACAGGCCAAATTGATCTTTTGACGGACACTCGTGACATTGCTCCGGTCTTGGTCTCGTTAGCTGCTGGCGATGCCATTGCAACGAAACAGGGAACCATTAAACTGACTCCACAATTATCGCTTTATAATGTTTATTTGGTTCCCGGGTTTCATATTAATCTGATTTCTTTTGGCCAGCTTGTCACCGAAAACTTCCTTGTCGGACAAGTCACTGATAAAATTCTACTTCTACAGGACCGCATTACGAGGATGCTGATTGGGTTAGGTGAACGAGAGAGAGAGGGGCTGTACCGGTTTCGGGGGATCGAGACGGCGACAGCTTTGCAGACAAGGGTTGCGGATGATTTGGCTTTGTGGCATCATCGACTTGGTCATCCATCTTCTCGTGTCACTAGAATGATTCCTGTTTTTCGTGGTGTTTCTAATACTAGTAGTGAGCATTTATTTAAGAGTTGTGACGTTTGTTTACGGTCAAAACAAACTCGTCAATCTTTTCCCGACAGTTCTAATAATGCAAAAGCAGTTTTTGATTTAATACATGTTGATTTATGGGGACCATATCGTACTACGGTATTCTGTGGATCGCGTTACTTCTTGACTATCGTCGACGATCACTCTCGAGCCGTTTGGCTATATCTTCTTCCCGATAAGACTCAGGTCGCGAGACATCTCCGTGATTTTTTGGCATTAATAGAACGCCAATTTTCGAAAAAGGTGAAATCTATCCGCAGTGACAATGGAAGTGAGTTCATGTGTCTTACACGTTTTTTTGAAGAACAAGGAATTGTTCATGAGACGTCTTGTGTCCATACTCCACAGCAGAATGGTCGGGTCGAACGTAAACACCGTCATATCTTGAATGTTGCTCGGGCTCTACGGTTTCATGCTAATCTTCCTATTGACTATTGGGGCGAATGTATCCTTACCGCTGGCTATCTCATTAACCGTACACCTTCGCTTTTGCTCCAAGGTGCGACTCCTTTTGAAAAGTTGTATGGAAACACTCCTTCTTATACACACTTGCGGGTATTTGGATGCCTAGCCTATGCTCATAACATCGATCATAAAGGTGACAAGTTTACTTCACGGAGTCGTCGTTGCATTTTTCTTGGTTATCCTTATGGGAAGAAAGGATGGAAGTTATATGATTTGGACCGGGAAATATTTTTTGTTTCAAGAGATGTTACATTTCAAGAAGATGTGTTTCCTTTGTCGACTTCTACTTCACCTTTGCCACCATTAAACACGGGTGAGGTATCTTCTCCACTACTTGCAGCTCCTCTGGACGATGATACGGACTCTCTTGAAATCACGGCTGCGGTTACACCGGCTCCGGTCGAGTCAGAGAAAACTGTAGAGTCCGAGACTGCCTTGGCCAAAGAAACTCCTACTGTCACAGAAAATACGGGTGGTGTCACCGCACCGGCAGCTGAAAGTCTTGGTCAAGGGAAACGACCAAAAATACCCAATGTCCGTCTTCATGATTATGTGGTTGGCACAGTCTCTATTGATCCTCCTCCCCCTCTCTCTTCTCCGTCATCCTCCACTCAGCCATCCTCAGGTTCGTATTATCCTCTCTCTGATTATATCTCATGTGATAGGTTCTCTCCTAAGCATCGAAGTTACTTGGCATCTCTTACCGCCAATGTTGAACCTCGTTCTTTTGCCGAAGCTATGGAATATGAGGTCTGGAAAAATGCTATGGGATCGGAGATGGATGCGTTACAACGTAATCATACTTGGGATCTAGAAGAGTTACCACCGGACAAGAAAGCTCTTGGTAGTAAATGGGTGTTTACCATCAAGCTCCGATCGGACGGGACGATTGAAAGACATAAAGCTCGTCTTGTTGTTCTTGGAAATCACCAAAAAGAAGGTATTGATTACACGGAAACATTTTGTCCTGTCGCAAAGATGACCACAGTTCGTATGTTTCTTGATTATGCTGCTAAGAAAAATCACGAAATTCATCAAATGGACGTTCACAATGCCTTTCTTCATGGTGATCTTCTAGAAGAGGTTTACATGAAAGTACCACAAGGGTTCTCTTCTGCAGGTGATACAAGGGTATGTCGTCTCCGAAAATCACTTTATGGATTAAAACAAGCCCCTCGTTGTTGGTTTGCTAAATTGGTGGATGCTCTTCTCAAGTATGGATTTTCACAGACTCGGTCCGATTACTCATTGTTTGTCTATTCTAAGAAAGGTATCTCTCTGCGTATTCTTGTCTACGTTGATGACTTGATTATTTCTGGCAACTCTCCTGCGGAAATTCAGACATTCAAGAACTATTTATCTACTTGCTTCCACATGAAGGATTTGGGATTTTTGAAATATTTTTTGGGTCTCGAAGTGGCCCGCAGTCCGGCTGGGATTTATTTGTGTCAAAGGAAATACGCTACGGAGATTGTTATGGAGGCAGGTCTTCTTGGTTGCAGACCCGCGGGATCTCCTATTGACCAAAACCATCGTTTATCTCTTGCTAATGGTCCGGCGTTGGCTGATCCGCAGACGTACCGTCGCTTGGTTGGCCGTTTAATTTATCTTCTTGCTACACGTCCTGACCTCACTTATGCGATACACATTTTATCTCAGTATATGCAGAATCCAAGGGAGGAACATTGGCTTGCTGCTTTAAAAGTCGTTCGCTATCTCAAAGGCACTCTCGGACAAGGAATACTCCTACGGGCAGACTCACCAATGCACTTCACCGGTTGGTGTGACTCGGATCATTCTGCTTGCCCATTAACCCGTCGTTCTCTCACAGGTTGGTTTGTCCAGCTTGGCTCCTCTCCTATTTCGTGGAAAACTAAGAAGCAAGACGTTGTGTCTCTTTCCTCCGCTGAAGCTGAATATAGGGCAATGAATGAGGTTACTAAGGAATTGAAATGGCTTAAAGAATTACTTCAAGACCTTGGCTTTGATCATACCGACCCTATGACGATCCGTTGTGACAATAAAGCGGCTATTCATCTAAGTTGCAATCCGGTTTTTCATGAACGTACTAAACATATTGAACGGGATTGTCATTTTGTTCGCGATGAGATAGTCAAAGGTGTTCTCAAGCCTCTTCACGTGCCTACCGAAGACCAACTTGCGGATATACTTACTAAAGCACTAGGACGACGAGAATTCGATGCATTTCTACTTAAGTTGGGCATTCAAAATTTACATGCTCCAACTTAAGGGGGGGTATTGAGGATATCTCGGGATATCGTATATAGATATTACCAAATCTATTTTGTATAGTTTCCTTTATTCTCTAGGGTTTACAATGTCGTAAAGTTGTATATAAACAAGACCTTATGGTCCATGAAATACAAGTTGAATCTTCTTCTACTCTTGAATTTTACAGTTCGAACCTAGGAAGAACCTAGATAAATAAGAACCGAATCATGTTTCTCTTCACACGGTACTTGTGGTATGTGTTACCAGCATTTAGCATCGGCTTCTCAGTTCTTCCACCACCTGCAACTTGACCAATCATG